CGCGTTTGCCGCTCGCTTTTCGACCGTCTACAACGTTCGAAGGAGAGTCTTCAGCAGCAACGCTGATTGGGGTTGAAGGATTTACAGCAGTCAGATCTGACACCAAAAGAAGGGTCTGTCGAATCTGAGCTTTGCACACTCGGTGCTCTCGGCTCTAAACTGATTGTGTGACCACTCGCTCGAGCCAACAGCTTGGCTGAACTGAAGAACACGTGGTTTTTTAAAAAAGCCCTACCTGTCATGCCATGAAGGAAAAGTTAACCGCAGCAGAAGACAAAGCCCAGGGAACACTGAGAGCCTGTTCACTGAATGAACAGCTTAAGGCAGCTGTTAACAAAGTACCCCACCAAAGGAATTTTTTTTTTTTTTTTAAGTGAAAACAAAAAGGAAAATGGCTGAATTGTGACACTGTGCATTATTACAACACCAACAGATTATTATACACTCAAGGATTCTCAAGTAATGAACATGTAGCCATTAAACAAATTATTACTCTCAAGACATTTATTACAAATGTCAGAACTTATTCATAAAATAAAACTGACTTAAAAAAAAAAAAAAAAAAAAAAAAAAAGCCAGAGCTGGGATCTTACATCTAAACACAGGAATACGCTGTTTTTATGAATAAGCAGTATTAACTACATTCTTAAAAGAGTTTTAGTGCATTGCATTCTTAAAAAAGAAAAACATCACCGCCCCAAAATGGTTCCTACAACATTTAACAGTTTATAGAACTAGCCTAGTTATTTTTACCTGCCTGTTACTAAGCCCATTGTTAGAAGAGTGAAACCTCTGGTTTCAGGCTAAATTCAGACTTCTATTAAGGACGAAATTGGTTTTAAAAAAACGGTTGCTTTACCAAATTTTGTAAGCAAATTACATTAATCAGTGTCTCACTGCCATACCGCTACCACTATTGCCCCAGCAGACCACTCTCTCCTCCAAAAACTTGCTATGCAATAACAGTCAGAAACCTTTCAATCTGGTAGTTTTGGTATTAAGATTAAATTAGACATTAATGGTTTTAATCTAAAAACGTATAAACTAAACCACCTCTTTTATTTTATGCATTAAAAACAATGAGGTAGGCACAAAAAATAAACATACGTAGTTTGGATTTCATTTATCTTTTTTTTTTTCTTAGTTCTGCGAGTGCAGACTGTGGTAAAACTGTTGTTGCACTTCTAGGTTTAAACAAAAATTAAACCTTTAACTGAGGCAGTGCTAATACTGTGACATAACCAAGTTCTGGCCTAACACAGAATCATTATAGAAAATTATTTTTTTCTCCTTTTTTTTTTTTGCTTTTTTCCTTTTTTTTTTTTTTTTCCTTTTTTAATCATCTGCACATGTTTCAGGCAATACCTGGTACACAGAAAATTACTAAAGTTATTGGCCAGGCCAAAATAAAACTGCAGAAACAAAAAAAAAACCAACCCAAGAATTCCACCCCGAGCCCCTTCCCACCCTCCCTGTCCCCAAGAAGAAGTTATCCTAGTCACTGCATCTTTCACATTTTATAAATATTAACTTCTTAAAACCTGCACTTTCCTCTTTGTCCACATATTGTCACATTACAAAAAAGAAATGTCAATTAAATACATTGTTAACATTACTAGACTAGATCTGCCCTCTGTTTCAGCCAGTCTGACTCTCTACACCACTTCTCACCTTCTCTTGCCTGCCTCCTGTCCACTCAACAGCATGTTCACGGTAAGTCTGGTTTTATTTTCCTTTTTTCCCCCCTCTCTGTTTTAACACTAACAGACAGAGTCCTTCAAAGCCTAGGAATCCTGGAGCTGAAGGGAAAAGAAGACCTGTAGCTTTCTAGCATGATCCCAAATCTCAAAGACATTGTAGCACCTGATGGCAATATCTTTACAGCACCAGCCGCATCGCAGCCTCCGTTGAAAAACAAAAAGAAACCTAACACCAGTGATGCCTGCACACACATTTACACAGAGTGCTGCATTAGTGCAGGTCTGTACTCCAGTTGAAAATAATTCCGAGTTATGAAGATCTCAGACTCTGGATGTCAGCAATTCCTTGCCAAATCCCACCGCTTCTACCAGCTCAGAAGAGAAGTCCTGCCAAGGGTCATGAAATAGACTTGACTGCTTCCACCCGACCGTACGGAGGCAAAGAAAACCTGTGAAGGAAAGAGATGTGTAAATGCAACAGGCAGGACAGCAGAGGCTCTAATGTGCCTTTACTGCCCCTGCTGTCTACAGTGACATTGCAGTGCAGTGCTGGCTCTGGTGCGGAAGGAGTTGACTTTCTCCATAGCAGCCTGTATGGTGCTGGGCTTTGCATTTGTGGCCAAACAACATTGTTAACACACCAGTGTTTTGGCTACGGCCAAACAACGCTTGCACAGTGTCAAGGCTTCCCCTCCAGCTCCCTCAGCCAAAAAAGGCCAGTGGGCTGGGGACGGGCAAGAGCCTGGGAGGGGACAATGCCGGGACAGCCAACCCAAACTGACCAAAGGCATGTCCCATAACATATAATATCATGCTCAACAATAAAAACTCAGGGAAAGGGAGAGGATGGGGTGGGACATTGTGGCAATGACATTTGTCTTCCCAAATGAAGTACTGCTTCCCAGGAAGACGCAGGACGTCTGCCTGCCCATGGGAGGTTGTAAATAAATTCTTTATTTTGCCTGGCTTGCATGCACAGCTTTTGCTGTCCTTATTGAACTGTCGTTATCTTGATCCCTGTGAGTCTTTTCATCTTCCTTCTACTTTATGTCCATCCCACAGGAGAGGGGAGTGAGTGAGAGGCTGGGTGGGTGTTTGGCTGCTGGTTGGAGTCAACCCACCGCAAGTATCCAGTTCAAATACACGTTTACCATCTTGGCAAGAAACCAGACGGGAGGAATCGTACCTTGTCATTGCGTTCGCATAAGAACTTGAGTCTTTGTGCCCTTTTGTGCATGAACACACCATCCAAGTGTCCAGTTTCCACCGATCGTATTTCGATAGCCTTTTCTCCCCAGCCCATAATCTGGTTGGATCGGATGTACGCTTTGGGAGAGAAAACACAGCCCATTAGGACAGGCAGACAGCAACATAGAGGAACTAAAAAGCAGAGGAATACACTGGCACACTCTAGTTAAAAATGACCTGCGTTTACTTATTGTAACTACACACATGTTCAGAGCGCTGTTTCTGTCTTCAGCATCTTCATGAACCACCTTTTTTATTTTCTTTCCCTGTGGGTTTTCCACATTAGTAACATACATCTTGCCTGAGCATTCAGAGCACAATGGGAGCCTTCCAACCTTCAATTAAATGGAAGGAATATTGAGTTTTTACACAGGCTTTTTCTCCCAAGTTTGGCAAAGAGAGGTTAATTAGGTGTTGACAAGGAGAAAGCAGAACCCAAAGTTTAAACAGACTAAAACCATCCACTCTGGTATGTCCCCAGCACCAGCTCTGTGTCTTACAGTGTTATTTTCCCTCCTTGAAGGAGTCTGTGAGCAAAAACAGAGAAAGGGGAGAGGAAAAGGGAAAACTAGAAAAAAATGAGCTAGCCTCCTTTAATATGAATAATACTTCAGAAACCTGCTCTCCGTCTTGAGAAAGCCAATTGGTCTGAAAAGTATTCAGTATATCTTAAAAGAGGTTTATACTAAGCTCTCTAAGTGTAAATACTATTTATTTGTCATACCGCTTTCCTTTGTGCACAAATAAAGCAAAAAATCAAGCATTTTTCCTTAAGGGTGTCACTAGGGGAAACAGATCAGTAGGAGCATGAGGAAAAAAATCTGTTCTGGATAGCAGTAAAAAAGTCAAAAAAAGGAGAAAGTCACCAGCATTATGGAAAGGGATATTCAAAAGCAATTTGATGGATAGTCTTAGGAACACTGCCAAAAACAACATATGGGAACTTAATGAAGAATAAGCTGTTGCCTCTGATTTGCATGCCTACTTAAAAGAAAAATAAAAAGAACAGCAGCTCTTAGCAAGAAAAATAAAAAAAAAAACCATTTCATTTTGCTGTACTTCCCTTTTATAGGATTTTTCTCATATTAATTTTCAGTGAAATTAAATCAAATTATCTACTACAGTATTATGTACACCTATAACATCATATACAGCATCATGCTGGAAATTTATTTATTTTTAAATAAGTCACTAGTGGTAACTCGGCCAAATAGCTTCTAAAAATTGTCAGATGAGATGTTCAGATGGTGTCAGCTGCCTCAATGCCATTTACTTCACAGGCACCCCCAAAGGCTCTGCAATTTGCCAGCTGCTAAATGCTGCCTGCTTTTAGATCTAGTCAAGAGTTAATCACCACAGGAGTCACCATGCTGTGCATGACACCTCTTTAAATTCCCCCCTCCATTCCTGTTTGCATTGCTCAAACAGCTATCAGCAGTCATCTCCCATTACATGCATCCATTCCAAAGCACATAAAACTCAACGTGTTTGCCCCACAAAACGAAGGTGTGACCACAGCCCATGCCAGGCTCAGCACTGAAATATGGCAGCACAGGCAGTAAGAGGGATCCCCTGGTGTGTAACCTGCACCCATAACAAATCTGTGCCCATTTTACTACACTCACTGCTCCGACTCTCAAAACTACCTTATTTTGAAGTGGAGAGGTGTGGGAGAATTATCATGCTAGGACAGATGAGCTAGGGGCAGGTGAACTGAAGTAAACACATAGAAGTACCCGTAATAATATCCTACCCATCTGCAACCTTACATGTCTTTATACTGAAGGGCTTCCACAACTTTGTGGTTGTCTAGCAAAAATTTTGCAGCAGCCTACAGAGGCCCTGGTGAGTTTTTCATTCCTGAACTCCGCAACTTGCTTGTTTGTATTTTGTTCTTAAAAAATGAGCACAAAACAGACCCGTGTGATTTCTCTCCACTTTGTGCAGCTGTTTTCCAGGAATGCTACAGCATCACTGCTTCTGAATCGGATGTCAAACCCCACACACCTTCCTCCTGCCTGCGTGCACACACACACACACACACACACACACACACGCTCCCTAATGGCACGTTGTATTTGACTCTGCCAAGGCACCTACCAACAGAAGTTGGCATCTCTCCCCACTGCAAAACCACATCCTTGGTGATCCTTCCATATGTGTTGACGTAAACTCCTTCATCCTCGTAGCAGACTAATAGTTCCATCCCATCCGTGTTTGGGAGAATGATGATTGCGTGAGGTTGGATACTGCTCTGGATCTACAGAGAGAGAAGAGAAGAGAAGAGAAGAGGAACCCTTCTGGTCTAACGCCACTGAGCCTGTGCTGGGAGAAAGGGCTGGGTGATTTTTGATTTTGGCTGACAGCCGATTGGGGATTCACTCACTTTAGAAGCCCTAGCTCTGCTGCCCCCGAGCTAGATGCCCTACACAGTCACAAGACCTGGAAACCCTTGGGGCACAAATCCTCTCATCTAAAGTTTAACCTCTCCGCAGGAGCACCCATTTCTTTCCACGGGCAGGAGGGGAGGCTGGGGCGAGCAGCACAGATGCAGACCTCAGACCTCCGCACTGGAGCGAACAGTGCTTGGGGAGGCACATTGCACACTGCAGGCCCATTTGTCACCTCTGTGTACAATGAGCAACAGGAAACCTCGGTAGCTAAGGCCACTTGGCCTCTGCCAACCCTGTTGAATCTCATCAGTGAGCTGTCATGTCATTCGTACTGCCACCTTCCCTGCAGCCTCTGCTGGGCATCTGCAAAGCACTCGGCCATTTAGCGTCTTTCCCTGAAACAGTGGGGCCCATCTGAGTGGGCAGCTCCTGACCATGGAATCGTACTGACCATGAGGACAAAGAGTGAGGCACAAGCCCCTAAGCACAGGTGGCTTCATCTGCCCAGATCCCTGCACCCAATTACTGCTGCCAGCATCTGGCAGTGATCCACAGGGATGTGTTGGTCATCTGAGGAAAGGAAGGGGCAGGGACAAAACCAGAAAGAAAGAAAAAAACCCAGCCTCAGCAGCAGCTCTTACATGTGTTGGTAGATAAATATCATAGACTGATCCTGAATCCACATCAACAGCATGGAAGCCAGCGCAGGAGCCATAGATCACTTTTAGTCTCTGACCCTCTTCTACGGTTAGATCCACCAGCAATGGCTTATGTACCAGTTCTCCAAATGACTGTAAGACAATCAGTGAGATTTACTTTACTGCTTAGAACCATGGTGAGTTTAATAAAAACATGTCCTAATGTACATATTATGGGTTTATTCCTCCCATGCACCTCTGGCCTCCATCCACCAGACTAGTTGGGCTAACAGGTCTTTCATGGACAAGGATAGATTACTCTGCACCCTGTTGCACTTTAATCACATAATACTGTAAGTTATTTTCTGCGGGGTTTACTTTAGTTGGTCTGTTTGGTTTTTATTAAGAATTCTTTTCCTCAATGTTCAGGGCAATTTGACACTCTTGTAGTGTTTACTTCAATCAGCACAGCCATCAGTAACTGATGGTCTGCAAAACAGTTTGGCAATTACACCAAGCCAGCTAACTTCATTCTTGCTGCATTCAAAAACATAACAATGCTGAGTATCACTTAATGACTTGTTCTGCTCAGAGAAAGATGTTTAGACTTGGTTTACTTCTCTCTGCCTCATGTTTTATTTATACAGAGATGGAACAAACAGTTGTGATATTGTGGTCATTTTGATCATTAGTTTATGCTCAGTCACAATTTAGAACTTTAAGTGTACTGTGTCTTTGAGAAAAAGAAGCTCCTAAATTAAAATATAATACAAACTTCATGGCAGATTTACCAAAAAAACTTGTAATATGGCCATGATAAAATGTCAAAACATTTTTGTAAAAGGGGTAACTGCAAATGGCTATGAGAAAATCCTACATACAGCTGAAATGTACTGTTACCTTAAAGGCCATAAATTTATGGTATGGCTTTGGTGCCCATGCATAGACTTCCACAGAACTCTTCAATGCAATTACCAAGAACTTGATTCTTTCATATTTTACTGAAATTAAAACAAAACAAAAAATAAGTCATCAGTAATTCCGAAGTCATTCCAGGTACTTCAGGAAAACAGAAAGTGACAGCATTTCTCCATACTTACATATATTTGGAGGTTTGTAGTAACACTGCATGTATTTATCTTTATGCCACAAAAATCATTACTCTTATCAGTAACTGAAACCATCACCATATTTCAAATTACCTAGTCAGGGCACACTTATTTGCACTTATTTCTTTCCACATTAGATGGTGCTTACTCATCAAGAAAGGAAAATCTGTTTTCAGACAGGGACATTTCCAATAAAAGAAGCCTATGATTGTGGCAGAGTGTATTGGCAGTTCCAGTCACAGCACTGGCAGTGGTACTTTGAGCTGACAGCAAAATTCCCCAGAGGAAAGGAGGAAAAAAAAAAAAAGGAACTGAAATAAAAAGTTAAGAAACGGGTCCATTTCAAAAGCAAAAGGCAAGTTTGATAGCAGAGCAATTTCCTTTGTCCCTAAAGCCTGAGATAACTAATTTGAAAAAACCCAAACCAACAAACAAACAACAAAATCCACAGAGTTTATCAGAATAAAGCATCATTACATAGCTGATCCACAAATGCTTTAACATCTCTCTGTTCCCATGTTCAAACAGCTGCCTAATTAGCCATAAAAAAAACCCCTCTGTTCACTACTTCTGTTTCCAGGAGGGGACTGATAAAATCTAGAAATGGCTAATTCAAGAAGTGGTGCTACATCTACATTTCTAGCTGCCATCTGTATCTGGGAAGTAACAGATCATGGGAACTTGCAAATGTTGAGGTTTATTAACCTGTTTCCAGTGCTGGTTTTAGCGGGGAGGAGAGAAAAACAAAGAAAAAGCAGGAGGTTTCTGCTACCTTTTCACCCCAAGTTTTAGGGCAATATGACCCTTTTCCAAAATAATGAGTCATTCTGTGCACCTTCACCTTCTGCCATTATATCTCCCAACCAAAACTGATTTCAAAACTGGGCAGGAATGAAAATCTTAGACATGAGAGAAGACACTTTTTAATAAATAGTATTTTAACACATTTTAGCTATGTTACTACTGAACAAGCTTGCAGTTGTTGTCTCAGTAGGCAACAGGGAGACAAGGCTACTATTTGCTCCTTTTTAGTCTGCAGGGAAGCAAGACTACTGATCTGTAAGTGTTAAAGGACTTGACACTTTTTCAGCAGACAAAAAAAAGTCTCTCAACCTCCACAGCTGTACCAGCTGAAAAACAGATCTTTTGTTCAGTCTTGTCTAGCTTACAAGATTTCTTGGAATTTTTTCTCAGGGAAGAGGGGGGTGTTGAACAAAAGCACCCTATCTGTGAAAGGGGACTTCAGATAATCCTCATTCTTTGCTCTGGGTGCTATCTGGGAAGTCACCCAAATCTTAAGTTTCAAAAGAGCAATTTATCATTTAGAGGAGCCAAAAATTGCCTGAAGCAACTAAGATCCATAAGTACTACTTCACCCTGATGTCTGAGACCCCTGTTGCATCAAAGAGAAAAGGAAGCGATCAGTGCCAGCTGCCTCAGTGGCAGCCTCCAGACCACAAGCCCAACTATTGGCAGAGCTCATCCTTCTTGGGAACTGAAGCGCAGCTGTCAGAGAGGCCTCTCACTACCTGAAGAAGTCTACTGTACATCCATGGTTCAGGGGGAAGTTCAGTGACAGGCTGCAGCCCAGGGTAACAAACCCCTCTTCATCTGGAAGAGAATGCTCTTTGTTTCAGATGCTTCCCTGCTGGAAAGCCTTCTTTCAATAGCTGTTAATATATTGTTAACAGGCCACTTCATTATGCTACTGACACCCTGTGGTATGATACTAGAGAAGTACATTATTAATTGTTTTTGGGGTCAAGCTCCTGGTTCAGCTGTCACTTACTGTCATTGATTACACCCCACTAGCAGGTTTTTCCACACATGACAGGAGGAGACTGAGCTCAGTCCGATTGCTGCTGCTCCTCCACACTGACTGACACAGCTGGAAAGGAACTGAGCTGGTTCTTAGGAGAAAACCAAACCAATATCCAGTGCCCATTAAGATGTATCATGAAACCAAAGCAAGAGAAAGAGCTCTTGGTTCATAACCCCACCTGCAGGGCAGCAGGATCACTGCATCATCTGCTGACTGAATGAAAAAAAACTTTCACTAGTTTTGGTGGAATTTTCTACAGGCAAATCCATTTAAATTACTTAAAACCACTCAAAAGGCACCTGTCTAGTGAAAACACACTTCATCCTGTAACTGTACTGCAGTGGATCTGAGATGGCATTAGGAAATTTTGTGAGCTAAAGGGGAATCAATGAATCATCTGGAAGTTAAACATATGCTTCTGTTCCCAGATGCCTCCCGAAAGCTCGTGCACTAGCTGGGCTTGCTTTCTCCTCCCACTCTTTTTTTTCCTTTTTTCCTCTCCCTCCTCCCCCCGAGTCTTTAAAATCTACTTTAAAAAGAGGGACATTTTTCACTCCATTCCAGCATGTGATTTCATCATGGTAAAAGATCGGGAAACCTGTTGATGAAGAGATAAGCTGCTGCTTGACAAGAGTCCCTCTGTTACCTAAAAGGTCTAACACAGGTGGTGAAACATTAGCAGCCCTCACTGTCCTTATTAGTACTCTCTTAGAAGTTGCATCCACTATGGAAATGAGAGATGGGTATTTGCACCAGTTCACATCCCAGCATCCCACTGCAAAACCTCTCCCATATTCAGTTTAACCCAGTAACTTGACAACTATTCTGATGCTTTGCCAGAAAAGTTCACCCTGAAGGACAGGGGAGACAGCTAGAAATAAAACCAAACCTTAAACCCAGCAGCTACATGCACTGCAGTTCCCTTTCTCATTCAGCTTTTATCCCAACAACTTAATTATTTCATTTGCTACTCACCAACTTTATAGTGCACACAGCCTTCCAAGTCGCCCACTGTTGTCCAACCCTGTTTCTTTTCTACTTCTGGGTCGTTGTGAAGGATTTTATTTCTTAACCAGGACAAATAGTAAACTCGCAACTTGTTCTTCTTACCTGGCCACAAATGAAAAAGAATGGTTTATCTCCATAGGAAGATAAGTGCAAAAACCCTGCCCAGGCAAAGAGAAAGCCCCGGAGAGCAATCAAAATAACAATGAAGGAGAAACTGCTGCAATCACAGAGATCTCCCTCAGTTTTCACATCCACAACAGCTTTACTCCAGACTCCACCCAAACACAGGCTTTCCCGATAATCAATGACAGAGATACACACGGCAATACCGCATGAACATAAAACGACAAACTCTTTGAACAGCTCTTCGGTTGCCTGGTTCTTAGGATGCAAACAACTTTTATTAGAAAAGAGTTACACTCCCACAAAAAAACCACCAGGGTTATGCACTGAGATAAAAAAAAAAATCTACAGCTGAGTCAGAATGGCCCTTTTTCGTACAAAACTGTAGGAGAGCAGCAGGATGGCATTTGAGGCCCAAAATTATCTATACAGCTATCAGAAGTGCGTAAGACTTGTTTGAAAGGCGGAAGTAAAAGTGAAGAACATGGTGATGAGATGTATTTTACTAATTCTTCTCAGTTAGTTACCAGGACATTTCTATCTCTTTTATTCTCCTCAGAGACACATCTGGTCAAGTTTTATTAAGATGTGTTCATCATTTCCCTGGTGGAAAAGCACACCAAACAACAGCACTAAACAATTCCGCTACTGAACCACTTCACATCAGTTCTGTTGTAAGGAAAAATGTACAACATCTGAAATTGCAGTGACAGAATTTCACACAGCCCATGAAAACTTCATCTGCTTGCTAAAAGCTGACGACTGCTTTGTCAGGGGCCCTTCCTTTGTGCTGCAAGGGCTGGTAATACTTATCAGGCTGCACACAGAAACTGCAAGACATCTTTCTGCTCCACAGGTGAGAATCGACTTGCCCAGGCTGCCCTATCTTCAACTGACAATGCATCTGCCGTGGCCATCTTAACACTCAATACGAGAAGGCCTCTTGGAATACTGAGCAAGGTTCATGATAAACTTTATCAGTGATTCTTTAACAACTAACGGCCTACAGAGCATTTGCTGAACTAGCGAGAAGAAGGCTCCAAATGCACGTACTCAAAGCTTGCATCCTCCTTCCTCCAGCTGCTTTGCTGCCTGAAGCCATTACAGCCCCACAGATGAAGCTGGAGGTGAGGAAGAGAGGTGTGCTTTGACTAGGAGCCATTCAATAAGGCTCCATGAGGTCTCTGCAAAAGGAAAGGAAACAGGAGATGCTCTCAGGGACCCAACTTGTCAGTGGAGTAGCTCCATGCTAGTGCTTCGCCAGCTATGAGGCAGCCAGGCTGGATGATGGTTTGAGCAACCTGGTCTAGTGGAAGGTGTGTCCCTGCTCATGGCAGGAGGGTTGGAATTAGATGATCTTTAAGGTCCCTTCCAACCTGTACCATTCTATGACTGTGGACAGTGTTTCATGGCCCTTGGAGCTGAAAGGAAGACAACCAACCTGTACTGCAGTCAGTGCTGGGCTGGTCAAGTGACACAGTACCAGTCTACACTGCAGAAAGCCATGAGCTATCAGGATGGTCCACCTGGCAGCTTGCCAGCCACATCCACCTATAGAGTTTAGCTAATGTCTTTACTTTGTCTTTCAAGTTTTCATCTGATGTCTACTGATGGATCAGTTCACAGCTGGCTGCTCCTTTCAGAGACAGGGATGGGCATACAGACCAAGGGATACCAGTTGCAGTAGGACATGAAGCCCCAGCATTGAGACCATCCTGCTGTGCCTGGTGAGGTCTGCAGCGGGGTCCAGGAGCTGGCGCAGAGCCCCTACCCTGATGGCAGGAGATCTTCCAACAGAGCCAGGCTCCTTGGGAAAAGCAGCTGCAGGGGCTGGGGCAGCACACGGGGAAGGACAGCTTGCAAACAGGCTGCTCCATGGACTCCAGCACCACAAGCTGTTCCGTTACAAAGAGGCACAGCCTGAAAGATCTTTTTATGATTACTGTCCAGGAGCTGGCGCAGAGCCCCTACCCTGATGGCAGGAGATCTTCCAACAGAGCCAGGCTCCTTGGGAAAAGCAGCTGCAGGGGCTGGGGCAGCACACGGGGAAGGACAGCTTGCAAACAGGCTGCTCCATGGACTCCAGCACCACAAGCTGTTCCGTTACAAAGAGGCACAGCCTGAAAGATCTTTTTATGATTACTTGGATGGGGAAGGGCAGGAGGAAAAGAGGAGGCAGTTTCATAGTAAAAATATCTGTTCACTTAGCTTAAATTTAAAGTGGAACTGGAGACCTGTTTTCAAATACTGGACCTACCATTTAATTTTAAAAGCCCCTTTGCTCTGATGGCATGAAATTAAATGTGAAATAAAACTGCATTGTCCTTTGTTTATCCCCACTACAAATGTGACAGAAGATTTGGCAGTAAATGAGCACCCTGATTTATTGCCTGACTTCATATTTATTAAGCCATGTTTCATAAAGGGATAAAGCTCCACCACTCCCGTGGCTTTCTAAAGATTTGGAAAAGGGATGAGAGCAGGAAAAAATATTCCCAGAAGTCCCACGTCTGACCAAGGGAAGGTCCTCCCATGAAAATACTGCGAACGATAGCCTCAAGGTCCCTTTTGGAAACACTGAAAAACAGGGAACATAGTCCAGACCAGCAGGCACTGCAGTTCTGGGCAAGAAAGAGCTCAGAGGGCTCAAGGTCAGTACAATGCACCAAATGTTTTTTAAACCATCACAAGTCCCTGCCTGCCAGGAGATAAATTCTCTCTCAGATATTTCCATGGCTTTAGCTTCCTCGGTAGCTTAGTCAAACTTGAAGACTCAGAACAAACAGTAGATATGGGAATTTCCCAGCACATGGCTAACTTTTTTTTTTTCTTGTTCACATGATGTGCACCAGGATATTTCTCTCCAACTAGAAATGTTTTTCAAAACAACAACAGAGAAATACCTCAAGTGTGTTCCCATTGTGTTTTAGTGTCTAGACCACAAGGAAAGTCACAAGACAGGAAATTCCTCTGCCTTTCAGCAGTCTGACATGAAAAGAGCAGGACGGGTTAGTTATATAAACATGGCTATGCATGTATTTCAACAAGTCATGCTGCTCTTAATGTTCATATTGGGAGTGGGGGTATTAGATCCTTCTGCTTGTAAATCTCTACCAGTCAGTTTAAACAGTTCTCAAAAATCTGGTCTCTCTCTCTCTTTTTTTTTTTTTTTTGGTCTAATTGTTATGGTCATGAAATAAGAAGGAGCACTCTGCTCAAACCATCAAATGGACTGATCAGCTGGTGACTTCTATGAACTCCCAGCTCCGATGCTCCCACAGGCATCGTTTCAAATGCAAAGTCCCTTTTCTTATATTGAATTTTTGATTTATTGTCACTGTGGTTTTTAATTATTAAGCAGGCAGATTCCAACCAGTTTTTCTACTCTGTCATCCCTTCCTACCTTCCCAAGTGCCACCATCAGCCAGTTGGGTTAGCAAAACCCTTAGGGAGCCACAAGTGGAGCATGTTCTGTGTGCACATCACTGCTCTCTCCTCCATCATTTTTATGACTCTCAGCACTGTATTCCCTGAGCAGCCTAAATCAGGTTTTTGCCTCCCAACAGTATGAACTGAAGAACTGATTAACTACTCTGCTTTGACCTGCAAAGCTTTCTTGTACCAGCTGTAGCAGCTTAGTATCAAAAGCTTTGTTGTCAGAAAGTTTTGTAGTTCAGATATAAATTGGGGAGAAGAATTGATCTCGGGTTTTCTGACTCAAGAGTGTATATTTAAAGCAATTTTAGGTGTCAATCCCCTTGAAATCCTAATGCACTGCAACTTCGCACAATGTGGTGACACCTTTCAAACCTCACCACAGTCACCACATCACTTCCTTAAAAATTCAAGGGACCATTCGGCCGAGCACACCGCAGGGAGCTGAACGACACTCCCAGAGAAGCGGGAGCAGTCCTGGGATAAAGCTCAGAGGCAGCTCCACAACCAATCTGCCAAAACAGACTTTGCAGAAACACGGCCTCGTTTCCGCATTCCCAGTTTGCCTGGAGAGGTGGAGCAACTCACCACAAATAAAAAGACACTGAAGGGAAGTCCAGCATGAGGGTAGCTTAAATTGAGAACTGCAGCACAGAAGCCAAGAGAAATACAAGGGGGAACCTGGGCATAACAGCATCACGGTTTTGCCGAGCGTGCTCCTCCAGCCCTGCCTCTCGGTGGGCAGGGATGCCCCTTTCCTGCCCTGTACCCCAGTAACTTCCCATAAATCGCGGGAGATGGGACAGAGACAAAGGCATAAACCAGACAAAGATCAGCTGATTTCTTAAGGGTTAATGTAGCGTGTCTCCACAGAGGAAGCAATACTTTCCAAGGAAACAAAGAAAACGGATGTGTCAGGGTCCTCAGATGGTGACTTACACAAATGTAAATAAACCTAAAACAATTACACACAGGACTGAATCACAGACGATTGTCGTCTGTGTAGGTTATGCTTCAAACCAACAGATTTTACATGAGTTGGATTATACAATATTTTTGTTTACAAGGTCTACTTTAAGAATAAACTCTATCAAATGGTGCTTTTCAAACAGCTTATATTTTACATGCAGCATTAGACATCAAAAGGACACACAGCAGGTTGTGTTTTTTTAAACCCTCCTTGAGTCATCTTTTTTTAAAAAAAGATTTCACAGCACAGCTGTAGCTGAGAAGGCAGCAAGTGACAAGACAATAAAATATGGTTGTTCTAGACAGAAACAAAGTCCTGTGTTGATGACGCCAGCATGGGCACAGTTCTTTGGACCTGTAGTAGCATAATGCATTAATTGTCTAGGTGTGTGTCCTTTTGCACAAGTGTGCTGAGAGCCAGAGAGCTCCTTCAGTGGAGTCAGAGCGGTTGTGGAGCCTCAACAAAATTTTGGGTGGCTCTGAACAATGACAGAGGGGCCACTGTGAGAAACCTAATTTAAAGTCCTCTCCCTGTCACACGTGTGTCACACGTGCAGCACAGCGAAGGCTGATTTCACAAACAAACCAAAACAAAAGCAAGGTAAATGTCGGAATGGCACCTGGGAAGAAAGGTTAACAGCGCTCCACGTTGAGTTGCTTAACAGCAGGACAAGCTTATGCAATAACTGTCTGGAGCCAAACAGTCTGGAACCTCAAGCTCCATAAAACACATTTTTCATTAGTGCACACAAAACAAACACAACAATCACCACCACCCTTCACCTCCCGTTGCTTTGCCATCTGCAATTGCACCCAGTGAGAGACCAGGCTGAAAGCTGCACCTATTGGCCTTCTCACGCTGGCAATTTCCAAAACACGTACACATCGTACTCCCCTCTCGCAAACACACACACACTCACTGCACATCACTCTTACTTCCCTACTTCGCCAGAGCATTTCCCATTCTACAGATTTTAACACATGAGATGTTTCTGAAACCAAGTAGCAAATCATGTTTTGGTTAGAAAGAGGCTAGGCTGAAAGTAATCATAACAGAGGAAAGGATGCCATTTTTACAAACTTCACAAAGCAGTAAGTTAGAGCTCCCAACACTGAACAAACAAACAGATCTGGACATTTCCCCCAGACCCATACAGCATTTTCAAAGGCCACTCCACAGGAGGAAGGAGAGGGGGCAAGCAGGCACAGAGTGTTGTGTGGAAAATGATTCACTTGCAGAGACAAACTGTAGACTCATAGAGATGAAATGATGGAAAACCCACTGACTTCAGTCAAGTCAGGACTTCCCCCTCAACACACAGGCTGCCAAGAAAAGCTTTCTGCCATGCCATGCAGGAAAAAAAATCACGTTGAACAGTTAACTTTACCAGAAATTGTCACCAAGACATTCAGCCCTTCAAGTACATCCATTTGCTGGAATCGTCTTCGATTGATGAGTGGATAAACCTTCCCCTGACCACTTCTGTCTAGCAGCATCAGACCACTTTCAGTGCCCACTAACAAGTTCACTCCTAGAAGAAACAAAACCAAAGATCCAAGTTAGTAGGCAGATTTTTCAGGTGTTCTGACAAACTGATGCTTGATATAGCAACTGTCTTGTTTCAAGCAGGTCCAACCACTGCTGGTCGGGTATCAGCTGCCTGCAGCTTAAGAGATCTCATGACGTAGAGGCTCTCTACAGTACCTGCCTGCAGTGACTACTGACACCAAATTGCAGTGTTCAAGAGAGTGAGAGACTGGTAGACCATGGAGAGCTTTCTAGAGCACCAGTTCCCAAACAAGAAGGCTCGCTAACGTTGGAGAAGGGGTGAGGCACAAAGTGGTACCCAAGCTTGTGTATTCCAAAGATGTATTAGATGTTGGTAGGGGGACTGGTAACAGGATACTCTTGACAAGGACACTGCAAAAAAGCGGTAATAGGGTCTTGGTCCCCACTGGGAGAAACAGATTGTGGTGCAGCCCTCCTACAAATGGATAGGCATAGGGCTGTTCCTCAGTTGCCCAACAATCTTTTCCATCTGAATGTTAAAACTAGAGGTATTACAGTAATCTTGTGTTTCCATAGATTTCTCCTGAAGATCAAGCAAATACAGATGAGAAAAGTCAGTGGGCTTGTTTCTTTATGCAAAGGTCCAAACATCCACTGGAATAGTTTCCAAGAGTCCACAAAACCTTAGTATTTAAAATCAACTACATATTTTTATTAATAAATATATCAATATACATGAGTCTAGGTTTTAAAAAATATATTAATATATTTTAATATTCAAATAGAACTCTAAAATTTCATAACTATTTATTTGCAATACTGTTTCAATCCAGGAGCTCACAAATTGTGCAGAGACAGGTCAGATACAGCACAGGGAATGGAAATCAAACCAAATGCATGACTCGCTTTAATAGACTTCTATGTTGCAATCCCAGTGTAAAACTTGTCGTCCTTAAGCGCAATAAAAGAATGAAATAAGAAAAGCAAAACTCACACAAGATGATCAGAGTTATATTGCTTAACAGCCTTAATCCCTGGTCAGACAATGAATGCCCAGATATAACTATACTGGTGCCAATGGATGTATCATCTGGGCTGATCCCATAATGAACTTTTTCTAACACAGTATGTGGTACCGGTGCACAGGAGTCTGTATCTCGGTGCAGTCTACACCTACAGCAGTAACACACCTTCTCATGGTACTGAAGAAGGGCACTGCTCACAAGGATGAGGAACGCTACCCAGACAATACCCCGCCTACCAGGTATGGGAGCGGTTTGCAAAAGGGAGGGCATATTCACCTTGAACCAAGGGACATGATGTGTCTCCCAGAGGGGACAGGGTGTGAGGAGGCAGCAGAGCCGCAGCCAGGAGGAGGTAATGACGGGGAAGGGGTCTGAGCTGCTGGTGCTGGGGCACTCTGAAAAGCCTCTGGCTGGATGACAGAACCAGACATAGTCCTTGGAGAGGTCAGAAACCACCAAGCATCCCTGTTTACCTCTCTCTTGTCTTTTCAGTTAGGAAACTTCAGAGGTCCCAGCAGTCCCCAGAAATCACCATGTTTCTTTGCTGCTCTGCTAGTCCTCTGCCTCCTCCAGGCAGCAGAGCCCATGGATGCAGGCAGGCACAGAGCCTGTCTTGGAAGAGAGAGGGCCTGCTGCCCTCCCAGGCTCTCCTTCGGCAGGTGACGCCTCCTCCATCCCCTTTCTGTAATCCTCCTGCCCCTGTATCGACCACATGGGTCTGCATCTGCTGGATCCCATCCCACCGCCCCCAGGGCATTTCACACCGACTGTCTCCTGTACTGAGAGCCATCCCCACACTGGGAAGTGGGGGAAGGAGCGGAGGGAGCGAGGCAGGCACCAAGTCAGGGCTCAGCACAGGCTGCAGCAGCACCAAACCAGCCAAAGAAGCACCCAGCAGTTGGTCCCTTTCCTGCAGCTCCAGGACCCATGGACTAAAGCTGTAAGTGCTCCAGCTTCAACACACATTTTTGTATTTTTTCCAGTGTGGATTACAATTCACAGCAAGACACATGCAAACTGCTCCCTCAGGGTCCCTTCCCCTGTTTGTGCATCAGGGCTCAATTGCTCCTGCCTCCATCCTCATCTCTTCCTCTGCTGCCTTTGTGGTGCAGTTGTTTCTGCTTTGAGTGTATGTACATGCCCTTCCCTGACCCCTTCCCTTAGCTACATGCATATTGAGATGAAACTAATGAGGTACTACACTGGTGGCAATCAGTGTCTGTATTTCAAAATGCAGGCGCTGTCTTTTCTCACAGCTAGTAGAGCTCTTCTACCACCACCCTACAATTAAGTGGTTCTGATTTTTCAAACACATGGAAATGCTTCCTGAAAAAGTACAGGCTGTCTGGGGAGGCTGGATGTAAAAATCTGTGCTACTACATCCATGTTAATATTGACTTTCACCACTCAGAACTAGAAGAAACAGCATCATACACCTAATGCAATCAGCAGCCTGCCAGATACTATGGTATTACCACTGGTAAAGGTAAAGCAAAACAAAGCAAGGGAAGCCCCCCCTCTTTTTGAGTAAGAAGCATCACCATGAAATGGCTTAATTTGCTTAAGGGTAAAGGAAGCAAAACCTTATAAAAAAATAAGCATGTGTACCAGCTTGCATAATCATCACTTTGGCCCTAAATGTTCAACAACAAAGTGTTTTGTTACTGTTGTAAAACACCTCTAGAATTTTACACCTATACTTTATATCACCGTAACAGTCAGATACATAGATCAAAGAAATATAAAACCATTAACACAAATTGCTACTGGCAAAACAAGGCAGATCAGAGAAATTATGAGACATCTTTACTGATCCTATAGGATTTCTCTCTGTCTTGGCCCTCTCACAGCCTGAAAGTTTACATTTGCACAAGTTTCCATTTTAATCAGAGAATTATTCATATGAATACTTGCAGATATAGTATTAGGGCGAAAATTCTTACCAGTAAATTCTAGAAATAAATAAAACAGCAGATAGGAAGATAAGGTGTCAGGAGAGCTATTTAATTGATATGGCTTTGCGGGCAAGAAGGATTAGGACAACAGCACTGTTCTGAGAAACAAGAAATGCTGGAAATAACCCCAAAAGCCTTGGAAAGATGTGTGAAAACGTAAACAAGAAAAGTGCACTGTGTTACCTATACAGCCATTGTGTGACTCAGGGGAATGGCCAACTCACTTCTTCATAGTTTTTAAAATGACATGCATGTGCATTTACATTCTGTTAAGTTTAGGGATACTAGATAAATATATACATAATATATACAAGCATCACCTATTAACATCTAGATAATGAAAAAATTCAGGTGGCCCCATAGATTATGGCCAAGAAAGAAATGACACAGCAGAGAAAAGCGTTTGCTGAGTGTTGCAGCAGCTATTCGACAGCATAGCAGGCAACAAGCACTGCTCTAAGCCTTTCACCAGGGTAGGATCCTGACACCAATGGAAATTATCCCTTGTGACAAGGAGGCCAGACACACTTGGTCAGCTGACATCCCTCACCCAGCTTCTCTCTGCGCTAACCACTCTCCACGAAACCAAGCCAGTTTCACACTGGAAAATGTCACTCCTACCCTTCTCTTTTCCTTCTTCCTGCCTACATAAAACTGATGACTGAGGTGGAAGGTCATCTTACAAAACACATCTTAATCAAGCTCTGCAACAATATATTAGCAAGAGGCTCAAGACAATGATTATTTTTCAAACTGAATACCCTATGTGCCCCAGGTGTACAATGCAAAGGTGACCACAAGTTCACAAGTGTTGCAAGAGATGTATTAACAGGGCCCAGAGAGAAAAGGACATCCCAATCAGCTGAATGAAGTCTGAACTGTGCTGTCAGAAGCATATATACAGCAGTAGGAAATTATATCAAAGCAGAAGCAGCGTAGTAATAATCATCTCTGGCAACAAAAATATGCAAACAAGTATTGAATAAATGCAGAGAAACAGGCAAGGTCTCAGTGATACGTTCTCAAAGACCATAAGCTCATAGTGGCACGTCTGCACTTCAGAAGTGCAGGAGGCAAGGGAGGAGGAACAGGTTTGCATTACCCCATAAGGCAGCACACAGGATCTCAGAATTGAATCTCTTCTTGTATTTGCGAATCTCTGGGGTATCACTCTGTGGCCGTGTATTCGTGGGATTCACATTGACAACTGATCCTTTCCGTGTAGGGTCTTGCCTTATTGCCTCTGATCTCATTGCTTCACTAGAAAATCCTACTGAAAAAAAGAAACGTAAAGTGCATGTAATAACCCTTAAATGCTAAATTCTGGACATATTTTCTTTACATCAAACAACCCAAATCAGTAACTGAGAATATTGAGCAAGTCTTTCTTTTTCTAAGAAATGTAAATGGAAAAAGAAATAAACTATGCAATCCACTGCAAATCAAATAAAAAGCATGATGGTAACGTTTGCAAATACTTTAAAGAGCCACTGAAGTCACTGAACCCTTTTGCAATTGTCATCTTCAGCTACTTTACTTACCCACAGAAGTCACAGTTGTCCCACTAGATGGAGAAATCTGTAGTAATCTGGGGTCTATAAAAGGTGTAAAGGAGGAGGAAGATTTGTGTTTCTGGAGTGTGTTACTAGCGGACTGAGTCTGCAATGTAAATTTCAACTTTATTAATATTAATGACAATAAAAAGCACAGATAACAACAACCAACATTTTTAAGTCACTACAGAATTACACTAGAGCCTCCCCAAGCTTTTATACTTCCTTTACAGATACACAACGCACTGCAGGCACCACACCTGAACTATATACATATGCACACGGTAGAGCAAAATGCAGTTAGCTAAATGGTACTGTCACCTCAGCTGCTAGCGAAGATTTTTAGGACTGGCCACTACAATCAGGCGCAAAGCGAGGGAATGTCTCTTTTATTTTTAAATCTGCTTAAATGTATCTATACTATCTTATCTGCAAGCTGTCCACCACCTACAACTTTTGAAGCATCTCCTAAAGCGAGCTAGTTGAATAAGTAATGAAATTTGATCTCTTGGCTTGTGCAACAAAATCAGAACCATCTGGGAGCAAGCATTTGCTTCTGCGATGGGTTATGTTTCAGTGTCCACTACTGTTCATTCTCCCTCTTTTGTTTAACCTGAGCCTCTTGCCAGAAAGCTGCAGCAGGTTCTTCCACCTTTATTTGACAAAGCAACATATTAAACCTGTATCGAACAAAGGGGCTCATTAGTGTGGAAGGTGTAGCAAACGGTGATATGAAGCTATGAATATGTAGTGGATAAAATCTCTGGTGCTTGCTGAGTTACGTGGTCTAAACATGAAAAAACATAAAGAAAGGAAGAAGACAAGTGAAACAATGAACTGTTAAAAGTGAAAATGGAATGACTTAAAAACCCTTGCCAGTTTAGTATTGTAGTGACAACATTGCACACTGAAGCAGAATGGGACAAGTGGAAAAAAAAAAGTACATATATGAAGGGCGTGCATGTGGGTAAGTTATACCAAGCAGTACTGGGATTTTGCTCAGCTTTATGCATAGTTAGAGACACTTCTTTATCATCAACTGTCTTTAACCTCTGATCTTTCTAAGCCTCTACTCTCTGCACAAAAAATAGCAATGGGTCTTAGGAATACATCACTCCCTTGCACAGCTCAATACCAAAAGGCTCCTTTGCCACCAGCCACTGCCACAGCCTCCACTTCCCAAGCTGAGTTAACTGAACCTCAATTATTTATTGCTTAGATCAAAGTAACGAGCAAACGTATCTCTGGATCAATCAACTGATCTCTGTAACCTACAAGACTGTGCTTTTAGAAAGATCAAAGACCAATGAAGCATAACTAAAAACTATTATGCTAACCAAATTTCCAGGAGGAAACCCTCCCACCCACCCTCCTGCTACGTGGTTCAGAAGCATTTTTGATCGTGTGGTAAACATGTGCGTTGCCATCAGCCTACCCAGCTCGCCGCAACTTCTCCTTGTCACAGCACTCGCATGCCTACATGGCAGGATGGCTCTACCCTGAGAAGCAGCAGCTTATTTTCACCAAGTTTTGCTCCCCCTGTACCACTCCTGCCTGCATACAGAAAGAGGCTCTCCCCAACAGCCAGACTGGCCACCCAGCCGGGAGTGGAGCCACCATGCTGGGTCCCTCACTACTGCTAGGGTTGGTAAGGGGCGAATGATGCCCTTTGTTCGCACATGTGCATGTCCTCTGCAGCGAAGGGTTACACACACACGGACCGGGCTTGACCACCAGCTGGTAGGGGAAGGCACCGTCCTAGGACCAGATCAGGACAGCAAGAGGGAGCTTCCCCTGCGGTGAAGCCTTGCTTCTCCGCCTGGACGCAACCAGCGCTGGTGAAGAAGAGTGATCTTTACACAGCTGCCTTTCAGAGTACACACATACTTGGAAAAAACCCAAAGATTTTCCCCTGCTCATTATTCCAAAACAACAATACCCCAGGCTTTTACACCCCTCCCAGGCAACACCTGATTTGTTCACCCAGCCCATGTGGCAAGCTTGAAAGAGCAAAGTCCCTCCACGGCCGCTGCTTCCTCTCCCAAAGGGTGAGTTTCCACAAGCGGCTCCTCATTTCATACGTGCGGAGTAACTAGCCCAGCCTTTACTGACAAAGCCAAAATTAACTGCTAGTTTTTAAGAGGCACAGTGCTTGCAATTAGCCTGCTCCCGGAATAAAACAGAATTAAAAAATAAAAGATTATTGGCTTGAAAATGCAGTAGTCAAGTTTAGTTTAAAATGAACGCCATGCAATTAATGACTCACTGAGAGGAAGCAAAAATAGTAAACTGGCAAGTTTGGCGTGGGACTGCTCTGGAGTTAAGGGCTTCTGACACAGAACTGAAATGTGTTATTTGGGGGGGGCGGGAACAAAGGTGACAGGAAAAAAAAAGCAGGGGAGATTGGCTGGAGTTCCTTTGCAAACTAGCTACTAGGCAGTGCTGCTATAACCCTACGAAAGCAGCCAGCTGTGGTGTAAGACATACCTCATTAGTAGTTAGCTTGTCCTGGGGTGTCTGTGGGGACATGGTGGGTGTCGGCTGGCTGGAGGATGGGGAGGAGGAGGTGGAGGAAGTGGAGGAGGAATGGCTTTGCTGTAAGAGATCTGGCAAGAGGTGAATGCGACCGGCAAAGCCATTGCTCTCATGATGGCTGGCACGCTTTTTGTCAACTGTACTCTGTAGAAAAAACAGGCACACTTGTCTTGCTCAAGTGCTGCTTAAAGGTCTATATCCCTAACAACCTCTCTCCTTCTCTCCCTCACTCTCTTCCTACCTTTTAACACTTTTTTATTTATTTATTTATTTTTAAAATGAGCTGATAATCCATGCTTTGATGCCTGGATGGAAAGGGAAAGTGGGCAGAGCTACTAGAATTAATCAAATTCCCACCGCTTCCAGCAGGCAAAAGCTTAGTTTGTGTGGTTGACTTGCACAGCCAGTTCCACTAATTAACCAAAGAGTAACTGCGCCAGTAAGTCTTCCACCACAACACGGACAAGCACATTTTTGGGGGTGGGGGGAGGATTTCTTCCCCTATTGTTTTGTTTAAAACTATCTTAAATCCTAAACAGATACAAGCTTGGACTGTCTGGTGAATGCCTTCAGCTAACTATTTAAAACAATAAGCATGAAATCTTAATTTTCAAACCAGAGGGCTCAATTAAGAAATTGGCATTCAGTTGTGAAATTCAGAAATGCGATTACCAAGGAAACTCCTATAAGCTAGCACGCTCATTAACACACGAGCTCATTTAAAAGCAGGGAATCATTATCTTTCAGAGGGACAAGAATGCAATATTTTCAGAATCAAAGGCAACAACACAGCACTCTAGCTCTGTCCACATTCTCTTCCTCGCCACCTATTTTGCTTCTCCGTTCCCCCACACTAACTGTTACACGAATTTGTACGTGTGTGTGTGTGTGTGTGTGTGTGTGTGTGTGTTACCTGGGTGTATGCCCTCAACTACAGGTTCAAAACAATTTTTAAAAACCCTGAATCATACCCCTAGAGACTCCCTCCCAGCCCCACTCCTGAGAGCCGCGTTTGGTTCTGCGTTGAAACTAAACTAAGTTCTTGCCCCAGGTACTTGCTCCACACACCTGCAGCTTTTCTACCCTTCTTTCCCACAGACTCTGAGGTACACTGCATGGTGCTGCCATGGGTGTCACTGGAAAGCATGCAAAACAGTAGCAAGGGGTGAAGGGCTACTCTCCTCTTTGCATGCATCAAACATCTTGCTCATCTGAAATTCACTACAGCTGTGTCTTGGTCATACAAACAACAAATATAATGTAGAAACAGCATGGGTGAATGAGCGAGTGGGTTAATGAGCACAGAAAAGGTGCAGCACTGCACAGGGAAGGAAAAGCAATACCTGTCGGACAATTAAGGTGCCCTCCTTAGAAGGAGTCAAGGCAGGTTCACTCTCCACGTCGTCATGGACGATCATGGTTTTCACTGACTCTGTTTCACCATTGCTCAAGTTCAGTGTTGACCTATTTGCCGGACAAGAAATAACTGGAGTGAGATAACAGCATTTGTGCCCCAGCTTTCACTGCCCTGCACCGAGGCACTTTCAGAATTCATTTATATTGTGACAACAGTGAAATATTTACATAACCTGCCTAGAAAGGCTTTTCTATTTAAAAAAAAAAATAAAATCAGGAGTTTGTTATACACCACTTCTTGTTTTATAACAAATCAAAGGGAGAAGAGGGAAAGGACCCATAGAAGCCTACTTTTTGAAAATATTACCCTCAATGTTTGAAAATGTGAACATACAAGGCTGCTATGTCTTGCCCATAGATTGCTGTAAGATGAAAGTACTAACGTCCAAGCCAAAATACACAACATCCTTTTCCTTCAGCCCCATAAGAGGAAAAAAGAAGCAAAACGCAGAAGAACTAACACTGCTCGGACATCATCTGGTCCAGAAGTAGATTCATCTGCTCCTTCTTGTTCCATATCATCGTCTTCCTCATCTGTCGTCCCTGACTCCTCACTTGAGGATGAATAATCCGTCACTTTATGTGGAGGTCGCACATCCTCTACCGCTCGCAATTCTTTTGCCAATGCAGTTAAATCCTGATAGAAGAGGGAGGAAAAAACTGATGTTGCAATGAAGAGAGGAGAACAGTTTGCAAGACAGCCCCTCTGGATTAGTGCCTGAGTTTGCTCACTTGTCCACTGCTGTGGTTCCATAGCCCCAGTAGTATTGTTTCCTTTGATTTATTCATTCCTGATAGTTACCAAAACTCACTTTCTGATAAATTAAAGCATGGAGACACTCAGCCTAAGGAGGCCTTGCCATATTATATGAAAATGTGTATACTCTGAATCCAAACTATCCTGATTATGACTTTAGTTTATCCCATTATACCATCTGAAGGACATATATAAGTACCCAGAGCCTCTCTCACACAGTGGTTGAGTGCCACAGTTCATTTTCCTGAACTCTGCAGGTAAATAGAATCATAGAATGGTTTGGGTTGGAAGGGACCTTAAAGATCATCTAGTTCCAATCCCCCTGCCATCAGCAGGGACACCTTCCACTAGACCAGGTTGCTCAAAGCCTCATCCAGCCTGGCCTTAAACACTTCCAGGGAGGGGGCATCCACAACTTCCTTGGGCAACCTGTTCCAGTGTCTGACCACCCTCACAGTGAAGAGCTTCTTCCTAATACCTAATCTAAACCTGCCCTCTTTCAGCTTAAAGCCATTTCGCCTTGTTTTGTTATTAACTGCCCTTAACAGCATGCACCACAAGAAATCTAGGCAGCAAGGTAGCAGAAAGATCCTAAGACTTATTGAGCAACCCAAGGCAGAATCGAAGAGAGCTGATCTCCTTGAAATCTTTTGATCCATTTCCATCTGCATGGATCTGCGTTAAGGAGTTCACCTGAGAAGTCAGATTCATTAGCACCAGCTCAGTCACACACCAAACAGTATGGGACATAAGCTGCTTTGCTGTCTGCAGCTTGGAGTGTTAGCAAACCACGTCTGCAGTCAGTGCAAGATGCTCTCAATTGTGTAGCTACACTTTATTTAGCTGAATACAGTTTATGGCAAACACTTCACACATTATACTATCAGAAGTGAAGGACCAACATCTATGTTTCTTTAAGAAAGCAGCTTTAACTGACACATTTGGGTGCTAGTACGTATCATAATGGCAAGAGGGAAAAGTTCTAAGGGGAGATGGAAATAATGTGAAAACCCACTGCGATCCCCCAGATACAAGTGGTTATAGAGCTGTAAACAACTGTAACAGCAGTCAGATAAAGAAGACGCCAGAAATCTTTCACAGAAAATAGCAACAATTTAAGGTCTTACCACTTCTCCCTGCACCATTCAGCCCAGCATTGTCACATTCAGGTCAAATGCATGATCATCGGTCCAGCCCCAGGAAGGAAGCACAGGAATGAGAGAGAGAAAGGCAAAGGTTAGGAAGGAAGAAGACCAGAGAGCAGAAACCAATTCCAGAAGCAGAGCAATTTCTAACGTTTAAAGTATTGTGATGTGTAAAGGCAATTGCAGAGCCCAGGACATGCTGCTGCGCCCACAGATATGAACTCCATCTCAAGCTGAAGTTCACCCCGAATGGTACATGAATGGAAGCTCACACTGTACGTTTTTTGGGCCTACCCCAAAGAGACTGGGGCCAGGGCAAAGTGGATGCAACTTACAGCAGGCTTGATAGGTCTGAAGACTTCCTTTTTCTCTTCAGGCTTTTTCGGTGCAGTTTCATGACGCTGCGATGGCGAACCCTCTGATTTGGATGATGCTGTGTGTCAAGACCCCAAAAGGAACACAGAACAAAACAGATTAGGCAGGGAGCTAAAATATGTTTTGTTATTTCACTTTGGAGTGAGGAAGAGATGTGGGAAGGCTATCAGGCAGTGCCTGACAGCAAGACATAGGTTTCACTAATTCACTATTACATTGTCCCTGAAGGACTAAACAAAAACCATCAGAAGCTGTGACCTGTATAGCTGACCTATGACTGAAGTCAAAGTAAAGCGTTACACAGATGTAAATCAAACAGGGTAACATGAGTGTGGCCAGGAGCTGGAAAACCTGGATCAGCATCCAACGTACCCCAGCTGAGACCTATCCATAGCAGTTTGTACCCCTTCAGCAACCACCAAGGTGATAGCCAACAAGCATCAAAAAGGAAGGGAGCACAAAGGAGGAAGGGAGCTATGAGAGCATGGAGGCTGGGCTGTTTGCAATGGGAAAATGCAGCAGTGATTGAACACAGAATCAGAAAACAATGAAACAATTTCATGACAACTTCTGCACCCCCTGTTTTCCCAAGCAGGACGTACAGCCAAAGAGGATACTGGAAGCTAACCCATCTTTGATACTGCATACTCAAAGGCCTTTTCCAGTGAGGGTTTTATCATCCTTCATTACTGAGTGTTGCACGACTCAATACATTTAGAAACATGATGTTACAAAGGGTGGGGGAAGGACTTACATCTCATCCGAAACCGCTCTCCAGACCCACTCTGAGAACCAGGGTGGGAACCAGGCTGTGAGCCAGAGTTGCTTGAACCCGAAGAACTGCCACTGCCTGGTCTTGGTACAAGCTTCTCCACCCTTTCCCACAGCAGACGAGGCTCTATATTGCTGTATCAGGGGAGGGAGGAAAGTCTTTGGTCACACATTTCAGTTCCAGATTCTCATTTCTAAACTCAAACATCACTCTTCCTCAATGTTTTGCTAATAACTCATCTAAAAGAGCACTTAACACTGAGCTAAGAGCATCAGTGATGCTTCACAACCTAAGCATCGTCTCCCTTTGGAATACCTATTACCTTATTTAAGATGGTAAAAAAAGTTTAGGCAGGTGTAAGCTATTATTATTAGTTGGAACAAGCTTCCTGCCCTTCTTACGTACCTAACCTGAAGTGGACAGTTCTCTTAGGCTACATGCTGCAGGTTTGAAAACCTGGCCACCCAAGCACAAGCCAAAAAGCCAAGACTGCCTGTCCCTCTCAGAATACTCTTAACCCTGTCCAGTGAGCTAATTCAGAAGTGGCCTGCTCACAGTGCTCTGCTGAGCTCTGGCGGCAGCCCCTTCCTCCCCCTTCCTGACCCTCAGATGCCTCTATGTCACAGCTCATGGACGCTTCTCCCCCTCTTAAAGTCTAGTTCTGTCTGAGAGGCCAGAAAGTTTCTGAGATAATTTGCTTCAGATGTTACAGACACTTCTGCTGCCACTGATCCCCACAATTACGCCCAAGCTGACCTGTTGCACCAAAAGGCAAGATGTTAATGAATGGACATATTTTTTCAGTAATCTTAAGGATATTTTGAAATTATTGCAAAAGTTACAGGGTAGGCAACTCAAAGGAGGAGAGAGAAGAAGAAATTTTGCCAGTGTTTGTTGGCACACGTGCTACACCAAGGGAAATTAATATTAATCATTACTGAAAAGGGATCCAAATTCATCTTCTTTTCATATCCAACAGACAATGCCAAAAGCTCTCTGAAAATGCCTGGCTTTCCATGAGCCTTTTCCTTCCAACTCAAGAAAGGCAAGGACATGTAGGCTTACACACCTTGTGGAGTTTCTTTGCCCTGCTTGGTTATTTTGCTGCCCACTGCCCTGCAGTGGAGAGTCACGGCGGGACAGGACTGGCGATCGAGACGTTGTTCTCACAGGTACCTTGGGAGAAAAAAGGTTATGTTAAATCCATGAAGACGAGAGAGAGAAGAGGAAGATTAAACCTCTTCTGCTACAGAATATATTCTTAAGATTTTAACAACACTTATTCTAAGTCCAAGCTAGCATCAGTGACCAAAAGAAATAAACAAACACCCACAAAACCAAGAGCCTTAGTTGAGATGCTGTTCAGATTCTGAAGAGAACTCAAAGTTTAGTCTTAACATTAAGTAGGGTTTAATAGTTACCACACGAACACATACACACCCCACTACCCTCCAACTACTGAGACATTTAAAAAGAATATGGCATTTTGACTGAAGCAGGGGAGGCACAAAGCAATTCGCTGAAACAGCATGAAAATTAGGAGAATAAGCTCAGGGGAACCAAACAAATGCTTGGGAATGGATCAGCAGAAGGCAAAGACTGGTGGGGGAGCAAGAATATACTCAGAAGCAGCAAATCCCAGTGGATGGGAGCAGAGGTGGGAAGGGAAGAGAAGGAGGAAATATATTGAATGTTTCCTTTTTGTTCAGTTCCATCTCAATTTTAAATACATGTATGATTCATAGTTTGGGTTGCTAACAGATGAAGAGAAAAATTAACTCTGAGCAATAACCTCAGGGATATTTTAAATTCTTTCCTGAATATGGTAATGATTTCTTAACTTTGCATAATAAATTGTCTCTCTGAAATAGCTGCATTCTATAAATAATTGCCAATTTTATATGAAGCTTCAATATTGTACTTAAGGTTGATTATCATTAACCCATTGACTGAATATCTACATTACATTATGATCTACCCCCTAAAATACTGTTACCAATGCTGGCACAAGGGCATGGTCTTCCCAGTGCCCAGTGTATCACATCCTTAAAAAAATAATAATTAGTAATTAAAAAAAAAAAAAAGCACACATCTGTCTTTCTACTCCTTACCCTTGGAGGCACCTCGTCACTGTCTGATCTAGCCCAAGCCTTTTGGGTGGGGTCGGGTACCTCCGACTTAGAGTCAGAACTCTGATTTAGCACTTCACTGCGTGAAGGTGGATATGGGTCCTGGGAACGAAGATGGTGATGAGCAAATTTGGGAGAAGGGTCACTGAAGGAATGGGATCGCGAGACAGGGGAAACATTGTTCTTGAGAGATGCCAGATGGGACCACTGTACCTTACAAGAAAACAAAACATAAACCATTCAATGCGCTCAGTATAACTGGCTTTCCAATTAACACAGAATAAAGGCAGGTGGGGCGGGCGGAGACAAATTGGTTATGGCATTAGGTAAGCGTGGGGTGGAATCAATGCACTTAAAAGCAAGGCAAGCGCCCAAAGAACGTAACAGACTGAAAATACAGCACATATACATTTTTGGTGAGATATGCTCTCCACATACACATATACTAGTGCCCAGAAGAAAAGGGGTCCTGGTATCTGCACCGTGAGCCTGAGTCCAAAGGCCACTCAAGACAGAAGTCTCCTTCTGTTCCCCAGTCTTCAGTGGGCTTTGGTCAGGTCTCACAGCAGCACTGGTGGGCTGGGAAATTTGAAGCGGATATCCAATTGAAGAAATGTACAAAATTAAAGAATGCTGCAAAATGTGCAAACCAACAGACATTTACGTTACCTAATAAATTTAGGAACTAGATAAAGTTCCAAAGTTTTGAAGGAAGACCATAACACAAAAGCCTTTATTCCTTTACAGTCATTGCAATATATATAAAAACACCATAATATATATTGTATATAGTATACATATGTACAATGTATATTATACTTACACCATATATGTACTATATACTGTACATATATACATATCTATACACAAACTAAGACGCACATACAGGCACTCATATTCAATTACACATACTAAGAATACACAACAGTGACTCCCAAGTTAAAACTCCACTGGGATTTCCACTGAAATCCTTATTGACCCTTCAGCCGACTTCCTTCTTGTGCATAAACCAGTGTTTCAGAGTTAATTTCTGAAACTAAGGAGGAAGAAAGGTCATAACTGAGGAACACGCTGATTTCACACCTATTAATGAAGCAAAAGTTTGCTTTCAACCCCGGTTTCAGTAGGCTGGTTCTATTTGGTTTTATATTATTATTATTATTATTTCCTTGATTTTAACACACACAGCTGTTGAAGAGCCTGATTATCTTTAATATGAGGGGAAGACACAGACTTTAAAAGTAACTGGCACAGGGAGCATGAAGATACAAGTCCAATATTTTGAAATAGTCATAGAGGTTTGAATAAAAGCCAGGAATTAATGAGTAAGAGATGAAGTTCTGTCCTGATTTCTCCCACTCTCCCGTCTGCTCAAATTCTCCAGTTGCCCAAAAGAGTTGCAGTACCTAGTCACAATCAGGGACAGTCTTAGCTTGCACTGTCATCAACAGACTTAATTTGGGAGAAGAAAATTCTGCATGGAAACAGAGGAACTGAATGCAGAACTGTACTGTTTAATTTAGCATATCCAAATCGCTCAGAATGTATTATTATTTGTCTAAGTTTTAGACAAAGGTTGCTTTTTAAATTCATGCTGTAATTCCTATGAGATACAGATACCCATATCTGTAGGTTTTTCATTAGAAAACAACAGAATAACGGCAGCCACATAACTTGGTAGTTTCAACCTCTTTTTGATTTTTCCAGGGGTGGTACACAGCTCTATTTAGCAACTGTAAGCCTACTGACAACAAACTTGCTTTTCTTAGTCATGTTTTGTAAAGCTCTTTGAAGCAGTGCTCATACTATTAAAAACCACTTGTTTAGTTAGCTTTTTCCACAAGAATTTAAAAAACTAAGCCAGTTCATTTATTTCCTGAGCATCCTTTTTGGTAGTAAATATCCTACACAGATCAAATTCTGAACTGTAAAAGTCTACTGCAACTGTCATCAGTGTTTAGCGCACCATTCTGCTGTTACACAGATAATAACAGAATGCAACACTAGCTCTAAAATAAAAAAAAACCAAACACAAAAAACCCCACAAAACAAACACAACACCAAAACCACAAATCCACCAGTTCATCAATAAAATAACTAAAAACAGACAAAGAGCAAATCTACTGAATAAGTTGCTTTGTATAAACCTTTACATAAGACATTCTAAGTGCCAAGGTCTGCAGATTTGAAGGAAACATGTTAGGACTTCTGCATTTCCTCCAGGCTCACAGAGGCTCCTCCTGGGCACTTACCTGGGGCTCCATTGGCCTCTGCAGGGCAGGCTGAGCAGGTTCTGAGTTTCCATTGGAAAAGGACTCCGATCTTGAAGGCACTGGTGGCTCCAACACTTTGCCCATCTGCTTAGACTGTGCTTCAGGGGAGCCCTGATTAGTTTTTCTAAATCTCTCCTCCACCTAAGCCAAAAAAAATGGAAGTTAAGCCTGGAGTCAATAAAACCAATTACAGCAGAAATATGAAGGTGACTACCACTTTTCCTTCACCATAAAGAAACCAAATACATTTGAGGCTTGGCAAGATTTTTTTCCCCTACTGCTTTCACCAGCATTGCAAAACACAGAGTGAACTACACTGAAGCAGCAAGTATGCCAATATGGAAAATCCATGGTAGGAAGAGAGGATACAGCGGGCAGTAAGATGTGCAGTGATATAATGAAATATCATTATGGGGCTTCTTCCTGCTTAGACTAGTTACTATCCATCAGTATTTTCCTCACAAACAATAAAAAAGATGTATGAAACCAGAAATGACTTTACAGTATAAAAGTACATTTCCCACTGCTATCCCTTACTGTAGCTACCCACCTTACTCAACCAATGTTATTTGATTATCTGCTTTCCTGTGCTGGTCTCTTTGGCAGCGCAAGAAGAGACAGAATATGCTTCTCGACCTGGTAACACCAGAGGCTGTTCGGCTTTAGGTACGAAATTGTAGGACTGATCATTCTCTCCTTTATCAGATAGTTCCAACACAACCTCAGAGGCTGCAGAGAACAGCTCCAGCTTGTTTCTGGTTCTCAGGGAGGTAGAGAAGTGATCATACACTAACCTCAAGAGCTTCTCATGGGGAAGACTGTCAGAAAGTGCTCAGTCCTCAAAAGAGAATCAAGCAAGGTCCCCATGTAGAAATGTTGCCTCTTCCAAGGCCGCAGCATTGTGAACAAAGTGAGAGGTATGAAGGGCAAGAGATGAAGAGAGGTTCCAAGCAGGAAGGAAATATCCTCCCATTTCCTAAGATGGTCTGTTGCTGGAATCAGGGCAGTGTATGCGATTCTGCCAGGGGAGCTGCCGCTGAGGAACACTAAACTCCCAGCACTTTATCAAAATGTCAAAGATCAAACTGTCAGCTTGGGCTGGTTTCATTTGTTGAGATTCTGCTCACAAGATTTGCTTTAACCCTTGTGCCTGGAGCACAAAACCAGTATTGGGGTGGTTCCCTAATTGTTCCCTAGCAATAATGGTCTGGAGAGACTGGCTGTTCATATACCCATGTCAGAAGACAGAGGCAAGTCTCCAAGACTCCTTAGCTGGGCTGCTTTACAAACCAAGCCTGCCTCTGCTTTCCAAAATTTGAGGACAGTAACAGTTTGCCTATGGGAACAAGCAGACAAGCTTTTGCCAGGTCTACACAAAATATACCATGTCTCAGGAAATACAACAGTAATGGAAGCAAGCATCTTCACCACACAATCATTTTCACCACCACGTTTAACTTCACAGAGCCATCCTTTAAAGTTTAAAAAACAGGCCAGACTCCTTGTTATGAATAGAACAAGGAAAAGCCCCAAGTCTTTCTCTCTGAAAGAACAGACTTTAATGTCTCTAGCTGTAGATGATAGGAGGTTTCCTCCACAAAGCACACAAACTGCATGAGCCACATGTCCTTAAAACCAGGCAAGAAGTGGGAAGGAGATAGCCAATGCATCCCTGGATAGAAACAAGCCTTGTTCCAGTCATCTGAATGCCTGGACTAGAAAACAGCATTAAGCTTCATTTCTCGCTCTAATCTCACCCCTTGTTTGCCTGGGTGTGAGTGTTAAGTACTTTTCCTTATATTCTTATTGCCACTAGAATGGGAAGAAAACCTCCTAATCACCATTAGAATTTGCCAGAACGGGAAAGTTTGCCCACTTTGGCTTATCCTCCTGATAGTCAGCATCTCCATAGATGGAGATTTTTTTCTCGAGAGTAGTATACCTGAAAGTATGAGGCACAAAATACTCACTCTCCAACCCCAATGTCAAGAATGGCATTAGAGTTAATGCCTGTTTCTGCGATTAACTGGTGTTGCTCCCAGTGCCAGGAACAGAGATATCATGGCTATACCATGATGTGGTACTTCTACCACTCGTATACAGTGATCTCTGGGAAGATCTGACTACTAACACAATTTTTCTTTGCCTTCAACTTTACTCCTTCTAGCTAGAGCAATCACAAAAGAAAAAGACCATGACAGAAAAATAGCTCAGTCAGTGGTTCTGCTAAAGGATGTAACACTTTGAATCTTCAGGAGTTTCTCTCTTTTTCAACTCTGAAAGGAAAGTGGGAGACAAGGAAGAGAAACAGTTCTGCATCCCCCCCAAAGCCAGGCTTCAGGCCAGACAGGAGGAGTGCTGGACTGGCACTGTGCTTCCATTGAGGCAGGCCAGGAACAAGGACAGCAGGGCTGGTTCCGTGCCTGCACCACCACATACCGGACAAGTCTGAACTTCTTCCAGGAGAGAGAGACATATTTTAATCACCAAAATGAATGGAGGAGATAGCACAAACATGGTTTATGAAGAATTTGGACAATAACATCTACAAGAAAATGAGTTTGTGCTCACCAAGCCCAAACAGCAATACTTCAAAGGCAATGAAGCACTACTGGACGAAGGTGGACTGAAAGCTATTTTATCATGTTCAACAGCCCCAAAGGCTTTTTTGTTCTTGTTCCAAAATGTATTTACCTAGTTCCCACATGCTGGTGATGAATGCTGTGAAGAGCTTTGACCAGTATTGCCCAGTCTAGTGGTTTGTGGGCAGTATGGTGCTCAAGGGAAACATAAGATCACTGAAAGAGAGCCAAGTGTGCATCAAAGAGGCAATTACTTGCTTAGCAATGTTACCCATGGACCAGTGAAGACAGAGGACTGCTCTCTGAAACAAACAGCACTCTGATGATTTCAGATCAACTTGTGAGTGCCTGAAGTCCAAGAAGGCAGTACCAGAGAGTTTTGTAAGAGCAGGATGTGCTCTCAGAAGAGAATACTTAACACTTCAGAAATGAAACTAATGAAATTCAGGTTTGCGTTCATGAAAAGGATATTTCCAAGAGCACGGGCTAAAGCACCAAATGTGTACATAGGTGCTGTGTGCAAGCATCCCTCATAGGTTTCCTTCGTAGATTTGTGCTTTCCAATTGCTTCCCCATTTCCAATCGTCAGTACTTTCCAGAGATATAGATCATCAGCTGCACCAAAGCTTCCTATGAAACACATCTAGTGAAGCACAGATGAGATTAACTGCCTGATGTGATGCTTCCAAAATCTGGTCCCCTCAGTCTGCAGCCTTACAGAATTTCTTTCCACTCTTTATACATCAAAACTGAACTCCAGTGATTGCAGCAGAAGGACTCAGAAGTATCCCTTGGGTTTGGAAACCAGTGGCCAACTTTTTAAAATATCCTTCCCCTTATGAGTGACGCTCTGGCCTCAGACTGTACTATAGCACAATCACAGTCACGATGATGGCAGCAGGCAGAGGAGCAGGTAGCAGATTCCTGCCCCCAGGCAGGACTTACCTCACGCGCTCTTTCAGCAGGCTCATAGTGGGATTTTGGCTCAGGGGTATGATAGCTTTGTTTATTTCTTTCTTGCTGCTGCTGCTGCTGCTGCTGCTGCTGCTGTTGCTGCTGCTGCTGCCGCCTGTGATCATGCTGCAGCGACAGGAGGTAGGCTTGCTCCTGCTGCAACTGGCGCTGGAGTCGCTCCGCCTGTCGGTGTTCCTCCATCTCTCGCCATCTGTATTCCTTTGAGAGAATGTGTGAGTAATTCAAGACATGACATTGACTCTATGGTGGACATAGCCCTATCCATCCCATTAAAAATGCACCTTTCTGGTTGCTGTAGCTTTTTTTTGTTTTGTTTTGTTTATTTAATTGTTAAGGTGTAACCAAGAGCTAAGTTAGACCACTATGGCATGTGTCTCATGTTGGGAAAGTTGAGAGTGTACCACTAAGCTTGACATGTTGGAGAGTTATGTCAAAACTGATTTTTATTAAAGGAAAAAAAAAAAAAGTTATTTATACTAAATCCAGTGTAAAGTTCATAAAAAATTTATTTAGACCAACACTAGGCCATTGTATCCCGCGGTGGATTTACATATCATGTGTGCTTTTGATCTGCAACATAAGCACTCTAGTTCTTCACTGAATGCCAAGGTCTGTTCAGAAACTCAACCACCACACCAGAACTGTTCCACTTTAACATAAAGCCTCCTCTTACTTCCCAGAAAGCAGTGTGACCATACAGCACTTCTCATATGTGCCTGTCAGCCCACAAAGCCAGCATCAATGGCCTTTTAATCAAGCTCCTTTGTTGTTATACTGTCAGTGCAGCTGTGCCCAACTGAGGGACACATAGGACTGGCCAGATAAATGGATCCTATAGCTACTGAACAAAACAGATACAGTGCTTTACCAGTAACATGGCCTGCTCCTGGAGCAGCTGCTGCTGTAGAATTTCCAAGTGCCGCTGCTCCTCTTCTAGCTGTCGCCTGATATACTCCTGTCACATAGAAATTACCCAGCAATAAATTTATTCAAAAGGAATGCATCAGAACCCCCTGGGTGGAACACCACACGCTACTTCCCCAGTTCAGCTTTAACAAGAAATGCACTTCAGGATGGATTAGTGCCTCTGCAGAACAATTTAGGAAGCCCTGCCTCCTGAGCATTGGATTTTGGCCCCTTCCATTCTGAAATTTGGACTCCTGCAAATGTTGCCGGCACGGGCCAGAGCTCGTTTACGTATTTTGGAAGTGGTTTCAAGAAGCAGCAAAATGCACTTGAAGGTTTTGGAAAGTTAAAACACAGCAAGTCTGACTCAACACAGCCAACACAAAGTCACATGCAAGTTGTATTAAACATTAGTTTGTTGCACTGGTGCGATGAACTGTTAGCAACAGCTAGAGCCAGGCTTAGTGTAGGCAGAGCTGGAGCAAGCTCCCCCAGAGGGGCTCTGCCAAGTGCAGTTGGGACCTGCCCTGCTGTCTCCCCTGCCACCCTCACCAGAAGCTTCTCCTAAGCAGACGCTACCAGCCTTGCTGAATTATGCGATGGTTATGACACAAACAAACATCCACCAGGAAACAGATATTAGACCAAACTCGCTTGCTCTTGCGATCCAGCCATCTCTTCACCTGCAGCCTCAACAGGTCAAGAGGTTTGCCTGACCCCCTAGAAGAACTCAAACTCTGAAGCACCAAACCCAAGCTGGTAACATCCTATCATGCAATTAATGGAAGTATGTAACATGTGCATGCGCACACACACAAGCACACGCACACATTTACAGTGTATGCATAAAGAAACTGATGGATCAGTGATAGAGTGATGGGAGCTATAGAAAGTCTTGTGACAGATGAGATACACTGTACTGTTGTTACGCACATTGGCTGAGCCATAGTTTGGGTTAACAAAAATTCTAAGAGGGGGCATGTCTTTTCTTCTAAAAAAAACCCAAAAACCAAACCAAAACAGAGTGGTTCAGCTTGGCCACATCAATTAACCATTTGTCATTATTGGCACTGTGCGTAATTAGCATTTCAACAGTTTAAAAAGCAGCTGGGGGAATACTCGGTGTCTGCCCAAAAGCAAATTGCTGTGTTGTAATTAGAGATTTTCCATATACAT